ATGACATGTCTGCGCAGCGGTAAAGCCGCGCTGTCTCGTCCCACTTTTGGTTTGTTTGGCTTCCCATATTTCTGCCGTGCACGCGCCGCACGCTATGTATGTTATACGCGCAGTATCTCGCTCTAGATTCCGGGAGATTTTAACTCATTTGCGGGCATCAGGGAGACGCTATCAATATGCGTGAGACTCCCGGAACTTCCGGGAGACTTGGGATGTCTGGCTTAGCCTACTTACAGGTTGTGGCCCAACAACTGCGGCCTCTGGTTTTAAAGTTGGAACTGCTTCATGTTTTAGTAACAGTTTCTTGTTGAATCTGGTGTTGAATTCGTGGAGATTCTGGAAGCTGTCTTCCGTTAAATGCGCAGCACAGAGAGCTAAATTGTGATCGTCATTTTCAGGAACATAATCAAACATAAATTGTATCCATTGTTGACGAAGTACAGCGTCCGTGGGAAGCTTGAACACAGAAGACCTGACAGCTGGGTGAACACAACACACTCGACAAGCCGTAGAGATATGGTCATGCCCTTTTCTGCATATTCCAGAGGGAGGGTTGATGCAAATGTGTGGGTTAGTGACGTCTAAAACCCCACTGTAGTCCCAATCGAGTTGTTTTTGAAGGCAATAAACTTCCTGATTTTTAAAAGATGATATCTCTGCTTACACTTTCAGTGCTGCAACTTTGCAGATACTCTTCATGCACCAACAGCAACATTACACACTATTTAAAATCAAAAAAGTGAAATCGCAATCAATCCCCCCTTTAATGCTCAAAAAATGTTGCAACTACATCTATGTTAAATCTTCAAATGCTTATTGTAGGTAATGCTCAGGCTTGGTGGATCCTGTGGGGTTGCGGGGCTCTTTGTCCGCAACACCCACAGTATAACGCCGCCTTCACACTGGCAGTTGAAATCAGCTCCGTAATACGCAATACGTTCCCAACGGACGTCGTACTACACAGTGAAAAGCGTCGGACACGGGTAGAACAAAAATGGCGGAGAGAGAGATTAAAGTTTGATTCTGTTTTTTTTTAATTATTATTAAAGTTTGATTCTGTCAGTTCTGTATGATCTCTCTGATGATACGTTGACATGTCAGGTCGGCTAAAATATGTGATATAGTGGTCAATAGTTCAATGTCTACCTTCAATTTAATTGTATTAACTGCCCTTATAAACGTTAGAAAGTCATGAAAATAAAAAATGACATGACAACTTATCGTTATAAAATCATAATTTATTTTATTAAAAGTTAATAATTCAGGTTTGTTTATCAGTACCATAGCAACGCTCAACTTCTGCTGGAATTGTCGGATAGGAACCGTCCGTAGCTTTTCGCACGAGTTCAAATTTTTGAACGCATCCGGATGACCAACGGACACTATTTTCTTCGCACCGCACTCGGTCGGACCCGTTTCGGACCCATTCGCATGCGGTCTGCGAATCTCCATAGGAAATGAATGACTTCCGGTCGTTTCGCAGCCGCATCGGAGCTGATTTCAACTGCCAGTGTGAAGGCGGCGTAAGCTTGTCAATGTGTCTGGTTTATGTTTTCTCGTGTCCACTAGAGGTCCTCTTTTCACCATGGTGTCATTCACTTTAGGAACTACATTCTCCACAATCCTTGTCGGTTCTCATCAGAGTTCATTGCACCCAGCTGTCACCCATTAGGTCATTAGTAGTCTCAGCCTCAGACGTCACGCCCACGGAACGTTGGCTAACGTTAACGTTAGCCATCAGTCTGAAGGTCTGGCTACGCGAGACTAGGTCATTAGTGTCTGTGTATATATACCCTGTCTTTTTCAGTGTTTGTCACAGTTCAGTGTTTGTCTTGCGACCGAGAGCTGAGTTGGGGTGTGAAGTCGAGCTGTACTTGAAACACGGGAAACGTTAACACAAACGCCATTGTGCTGTCTGAATTGAATATATGGTTTACAAGAATAGTTAAGAGCAGCGCAAACAGGTTTCCTTGCTAGACGGCATAGGGGACAATCTGCTGCAAACCAGACATAGCCTGCATGGTTTCCTTGGTTTTCAGGTATATAAGGATGGCGAGAAGGACTAGCCTTCGCCTTCACATGTAGACATTGTTCTGTATGTTGAACGCCAATTTCGGAATTGTTTTCTTGCAAGAAAATAAACTCTTGATACTTTAACTGTTGAGAGGTTTCCACTTGTCTTGTTCCTCCTATCTTTTCGAACAACAGAGAATTATTTCCACAACAATTGCCTTTTTGGATTATTGCCTGGACTGGTTGTAAGTAATAAATATTGCTATTAGGTCTTACGTTTTCTGTGTGTGTGTGTATTGTGACAAATTTGAGCTGTTTAACAAAAGGGCACAGTCAAGGTGTTGAGCCAGGCAATTGAGACCGCACCGTTTGGTTTAGCCCAAAGTGGAAAATGTTCTTTAGAGCCACGTCATTAAAGTCAACAAAACTGATTTAAAAAAAAAAAAAAATCCACAATGTTTCCAGGAGACCAATGATGTCTTTCAAGACCACCACGTCCAGGAGAATGGTTATCAGGAAAGGCAAGCATTCAGTCTTCATGTCCAGGGTGTGGCCAATTCATGAATTGAAGAAAACCCAGTAAAGTTTTTGAGAAAGTGGTTCAACTCATCACTCTCAGATCGGGCCAACGTCAATAAGAGGGTGGAGCAAACCAAGGAATGGTTAGGAAGATTGACAAGTCTAGACTACCTGGTAAATTCAAGACCTGGCTGTACCAGCATGGTCTGCTGCCAAGGCTTCTTTGGCTCTTCACTATCTATGAGTTCCCATGACAACTGCAACTTCCTCTGTGCTCTGCCGTAGAGAAGTTTAAGAGTAGAGTCCTGATTAGCCTCAGAGATTCCAAAGACGACCTGGTGAGGCAAGTAGGGGTCACAACCAGGTCTGGATGCAAATGGTTAGCCAGTACAGCAGTAGAGCAGGCGGGGAGTGCTTTGAGGCTATTTGACATCCCTGGAAGCCCTTGCGTTGGATGGAGAGGACTCGGCTCTGCACATTTCCAGCAATGAAGAAGTGCATTTGTAAAGAGCAGGCAGGAGATGGTTCAGGCTGAGGTGCGGGCCTGTGAAGAGGAAAGGCAGATGGCAAGGGGGAGTGGAACAAAGATCCCAGAGCGCAAGGACACAATGGGACCTTCCCGAGAGCAAGATCTTTTGGCAAAAGCTGTGGCAGCTGGAGCCCTACCAAATGTCCTTCCTCCTGCGATCTGTCTATGACACCCTTCCTTCGCCAGCACACTTACATGTATTGGGGCTGAGGAAGATCCGAACTGCAAGCTCTGTGGGCAAAAGAGGACACGAGAGATGCAGGAAGCCTGCCTGTACAGGCTTGAAGAGGGCAATCACATTTGTCAAGGAGGGAGCAAGGCCCTTTTCAATTAAATCATCAAAACTCAATCTCCTTCAAAACACCAGGTCCTGGGAGATGAGGGTGGATGTGGGCAAAAGGCGGGAATTACCGGAGGTGAACAGTTGTGGAGTCTGATCACCATATAATGTAGAAATATTTATAAGCGATGCAAAAGACTATGCATGCTAACCTGCACACCGGATATGCTACCCAGTGGTAAGTGCCTGTGCCAGAAAAAGTACCTTTCCAGCAGCACACACGGAAAACTACAATTCATTTAAGGAAATCATGCTGCAGGGAGTGTAAATTTGAGGATACAATTCCATATTAAAGGTTTAATTCACCGAAAAATGAAAATTCTGTCAGTAATTACTTCTGTGAACTTTTTGTGTGAACTAACCTTTTAAATGTAGCTATTAATAAAAAATATATAGCTGTATTGCTCCTATGTACAGGTCCAGGACATAGAATACTGCTATATGCGGTAAAATGTTATTATTGTACCCCTAAAACCAGAAAGAAAACAGGCAAAGTCTATTTATAAGTCTATTTAAAGTTTGTTTATCAATTTTATTTATTTTTATTATTCTGATTCCATAAATACATTTCCAGCATATAGTGATATTTAGAATCTTGAAATGAATTGCTAAATGTTCTTACTGTTCTGTTTAGTAAAATAAAGGTTCATCAACAGTTTCATTTTTACTATATCTGGTTTTACTCTTTATTGGGGACACATTGTAAACATTGCATTGACATTTATGAATGAAGGAGTACAAAACGTAATGACGCTAAATATTTGTCCCAGCCATAGTTTTGAGATTGTGATGTTGGGTCAACAACAGCTTGCAGCTGGGCTTTCAGTTTCTCCTTTTTTGTATGATCAACTGGAGGAACTACAATTCCTCCGAAAGGAAGGACTGTCCCAGTCAGAGTCTTCATCTTGAGTATTCCGTGAAAAAAAAAACAATTGTATAAAAGTTTATGGACATATTTACATTTTATTGTTGCAATATGTTAGGCATCATTGTAAATGCATGTTGTGGAACAGAACTTATTCTGTCAAATTATAGACAATACCTCAGTTTCTGGTGGATCAACAAGTTTTTGAATATGCCCGATTTCCCACATTTGGTTGGGGGTTCAATTCCCACAAGTGAAGGAATCAAGGCTGGCCGTGGCAGGAACACATAATGACAACAAAACATGTGGAGGCTGTTGGCTGGATCCCCAATCCTTCCTCTTCGAGAGTGTGCAAACAACATGACATCATGACTTTTGCGTAAACATATACGCCACTTTCGAGTCAGGTGGCGTGTTATCTCTACGCATTTTCAGCTATCCGCGTGTATGCGTATATGTCTACGCCATTAACGTCCGCGTCATTCCACGTGTCTGAACACGCTGTCAAATCTCCAGTCATAAATGCCATTAACCCCAGTGACGGTTAAGTTTAGGGATGGGGTTGAGGTAAGTCATATCTTTTTTTTACCTAGGATGGTAAGGGAACAGTCATAAATGCCATTAACCCCCCAGTGACGGTTAGGTTTAGGGACGGGGTTGAGGTAAGTCATATATTTATATAACGTTAAGTCAACGACGTTCATAAACACGCTGAAAGGCGATTATGCGTCTTGATAGCACGGCAAAAATGGAAATACGAATTGGCGTGTCATACACACGCTACTTCATGAGATCAGTCTGGTGTAAAACATCACAGATGTTGGTTACAGCCATCCACATGTCATGCGTTCAATACTGAGAAATGCATACAAAACAGTGTGTATTAATTTGATTAACAGGACCTAATTGCTTAAATGTTGAATACACCATTATTCTTAAAAATAGAATGCTCATATTTAGCTCAGGGTATGACTATTGAATTAATTTTCATGGGTTAGGGTTAGGCTGGTTATGCAGGCTTTTTCCTGACATGAAACTTCGCCTCCCACAGCCTTGCACAGAAAACATGCACCTAGCGATCTCTACATTTCCGACTCCTTGGTCTCCTTGAACTCTAAATGCAGAAATGATTAAAAGGATCAAAGCTGTTTTAGAAAAGAACACCAGTCTAATGAGCAAAATCAGTGTCCATTTAAAGGAGCATTTCACTCATTGCAACATTAATCTTTATTGAAAGTGGATCATATATGTAGTCGGTGCCCTCTTGACTGAGGAAAGACAGAAAATAACTGAAAAATAAATAACTGCAGAGTCTTTCTGGTAGAAATACAGTGAGGTTGCATCGAGGATCAAAGCAGAGGCTAAAGGTGCTTTTTATGTCCACTGTAATGCGCATTACTTCAACCTTGTTATTGTTGATGCGGTGAAAGCAGTCCCAGTATGGGATGAATATAGTAGTAATAACTGCTTGAGCGATGACACTGACACTTTTTCACATTGTTGCTTTACTGTTCAGTTCATCTTCTATACAGTGACACTGCGCGTGTGCAACACAACAGAGGATCAATACGGGTGTCGTAAGAACAACACATTCAACACTTACAATGCAGTTCACAACCATTTAAACCGGTTCCCCTTATCAAAAAAATCAAACTTCAAAACTAATTTTAGATTAAATTGGTGTATTAAATGTAGTTTTATCTTTTGCTTATTTACAAGTTATGGAAGTGAACTTTGATCACTTAGACACCTTTGGGCAATGCTTTCTCTTATGTTTCAGTAGATTAGATAAATTTCTAAAACTCTTCACACATGTTGAGCACTGGTGCGGTTTCTCTCCAGTATGAACTCTCTCGTGATCTTTCAGGTGTGCTGACCGAGAGAATCTCTTTCCACAGTGTGAACACTTGTACGGTTTCTCTCCAGTATGAACTCTCTCATGAACTTTCAGGTGTCCTGACCGAGTGAAACTCTTTCCACAGTGTGAACACTTGTACGGTTTCTCTCCAGTATGAATTCTCTCATGATCTTTCAGGTGTCCTGACCGAGAGAATCTCTTTCCACAGTGTGAACACTTGTACAGTTTCTCTCCAGTATGAACTCTCTCGTGAACTTTCAGGTGTCCCGACCGAGTGAAACTCTTTCCACAGTGTGAACGCTTGTACGGTTTCTCTCCAGTGTGAACTCTCTCGTGTGATTTTAAGTGGCTGGATGAAGTGCAGGTCTTTCCACAGCACACATAAGGTCTCACACCAGTATGAATACGCTCATGTAGTTTTAAAGATACAAGTTGTGAAAAACTCTTTCCACATACAGAACAAAAGTGAGGCTTCACAGCAGAATGAACTTTAAGGTGTCTTCTTAAGCTTGATTCCAAAACAAATGTTTTATCACACTGATCACAGCTGAATGATCTCACTCCAGAGTGATAATGCAAATGAATGTTGAGAGAGTTTTTGCGACCGAAACTCTTTCCACACTGAGAGCATGTGAATGGTTTTTCTCCAGTGTGAATTCTCAGGTGATCATTTAGTTGTCCTTTATATCTGAAACTCTTTCCACACTGAGAGCATGTATAAGGCTTTTCTCCAGTGTGAATCATCATGTGTTTGTTCAGGTCTGATTCATTTACAAAACTCTTTCCACACTCAGAGCAGGTTAAAGATCCTTTGACTCCAGATTTTCCAGCTTGTTTCTGTGTGAAATTCTCTTCAGTCTTTAAAACGACTGTGTGTCCATCTTCATTTGTGAAAGAATGAGGTTTTTGAAACTGATGGAGTTTGTCTTCATTCATTTCCTTCAGGTCTAAAATAAAAAAAAAAATAATTCCCATAATTGAATAAAAGGATACATGAGAAACAAAAATAAACATTGCTAAAAATCCCAATTTTCTACTAGCCCTTAAACAGGCAAGCGTGGAAAATGCTTAGCAAAAAATAATTTAATTTCATTTATATATAATCTGGACTTAAATAAAACATATCCAAAAAATATATATTTTTAAATTTGAAATATTTTGTATTTTATGAGTTGTCTCCTGACATATGTTGCCTGATTAGGGTATAAAAAGGACCATTAATCTGTTAACCGTTTCTGCCACTGTATGTTTAAAACAATTATATCCCATTCTTCACCTGATCTAATGTTTACAAATTATATATATATATATATATATATATATATTATATATCATATATCACATATCATCAAGAAACCTGTTTTGAAATTGGACATTGTGTTGCTATAGAAATGATACTCTAAATTGTTTCAATGGGCTCCTCCCCTTTTGGGCATCGTCATGTTTCATAATTTATGATCAAAACCTTTTTTAATCTTGACAAAACACATATTGTCAGAAATGTCTGAGTCTCAAGGTTCCATATTTTGTGACGTGTGATATTTGGACAGAAGTTGATTAATTTGTTATTGCAGAATGCATACAATTAAATTCAAAGGAATTTAAGTCAACGGATGTCTATTTTTGGTGTTATGCCTGAACAAAATCTCATGGGAACTTCAATTTTGATGATATCAACTTAAAACTTGGTTAGATATATGGCTTTGATTCTTTAAAACAAGACCATAATCAGGTCTATATTCCAAAGCTTTCTTGAATTACAATCATTTAAGTTTGAATAGTGCATTTTAAATAGACCTAGTTTAATCCCCTTTTAAACAGGCAATGTGTCTCAGGAGACACATACATTTCAAAACATGCTAAATAACAACATGAACAATATATTACTTAATTTTCTCCTTCAGCACCTTAAGCCAATGTTCCCAATTAATGTTAGCATCTTTTTTTTTTTTCAGAAAAAAAGTAAGTTTAATATATATTTACTTATCTAAATATCTGAATGTTCTGCACCACTGGCAGCCATGTTGGATTTAGGTCAGGCCGACTAATTGATCACAAAAAGTTTGAAGCAAATCGTGTGACCAGCATCCTCAAGACAGACCAAGCTTTCTTAAGTGATAAAATAGCTGATGAAAAAAATATTTCTTATGCCCCAAAAAATACAATAAAACTTACGTATCTCATGAGACACGTTGCACAGCTGTTTTAGGGCTAGTCTACTAGTATCTAGTTTTAGATGTTATTGTTATATGTGAGTTTTCATCTTAATGTTCCTCATCAGTCTTTAAAGAGAATGAAGGAAAACACCAACCTATTTGTTCCTCTGTATCTTCATCTTTTATTCTGCAGGGTTCTTCCTTAATCTCCATCTTTACAATAGTATGTCCGTAGTTTCTCCTGGAGTAATTCCTCCTGCTTGCTTCTTCTCCTGTGGGAAGATGGGAATATTCCCCAGCATTTAAACTCTCATGAACGGCTGTGGGAGATTCACTGACTGAAGGAGTGAATTGTGTTCGATGTTGCTCATTAAGCAGATGATCATCACACTTATAATCACTTGAGATTATTCAGGTCAGGTGCAAATGTTTTGCTCAAATAGTCGTTTAAAAACAATTCCATGATTACTATTACTGAATTTACACTTTGGGCTCAATATATGCAAAAATGTGTACACTTCACATGAAATTTAGTAAGTAAATTTGATTTATATAGCACATTTATAGCAGGGCAGGGCAAAACAAAAACAGAAAAACAAACAAACAGAACAGACAGAAATAGCAACAGGAGAATTTTTTTTAATATAAACCATGGCGAAAAGTAATATTTCAGAATTTAAAAATACATTCAATGTATTATACTAGCCTATACTATATACTATACTATACATGATGCACCATTTATATATGTTATATACTGTAGGCAGGACCAAATCCTCAATCCTGTTTACTTATTTATTTTTTACACAAGATGGACAAACAAAATGCTATTTTTGTTATTATAGCACAAACCTCCCCACCTATCAGACACACCTGATTCAACTCATCAGTTCATCAATAGAGACCACAAGATTGGGTGTGTCTGAAGAGGGAAACACCCAAAATGTGCAGTGTGGGAAAGGAGGTTCCCCAGAACAGATTTGAGAAGCATTCAATAAAAATAAAAAAGTGATTATAAACATCATAAATTTAATTAGTATTTATAAAGGCAAAGAATACATTAGTTAAGAGATTAATATTAATTTTAAAAAATACCTTTCTGGAGTACCCATTAATGGCACTTAATATCACACGGCCTTACCAGGGAAAATATTTGTTTATTTTATATGTATATACTGTTATAATGTCAACTGTTGTTAATAATATATATATATATATATGTATGAATGCTGCAGCACCAAGATCGTCTCATCAATGATTTGTAACCTTACAATTGAATTAATTGCTAGATGAATGTGAACAAGATGCAGTGGGCCCTGGACAGAATAAGTATTCCAGCAGAGTCTACTCGATTTCATTTTTGGCGTGCCATCAACACGCATAATCGCTTTTCAGCATGTTTATGAACGCCGCTGACTTAATGTTACATTACTGTATATATAAATATAGGACCTACCCCAAACCCGTCCCTAAACCTACCTGTCAATGGGGTTAATAGCATTTATGCTTTATAAATTTATGCTAATAGCATTTATATTTATGCTAATAGCATTTATGGTTAATAGCATTTATGCTTTATAAAGTGTAAACATGATAACCCGCATATCGTTGCCATCACCGTTTGGTGCTACAGGATTTACATGAATCATTCAGCACAACATTGCTAACATTTGTTATCTCGGTTATTTACAGATACGTTAATGAAGCTAATTGACATGATGTACAACGCAGCTAGAAGCTAACGTTAATGTTTTCTAATGTACGCGAGTACGTCTAACGTTAGACTAACGTTACATTAGAGATTTAAAAGATAACGGTCAAATACGATGTTGACTTAACTTAAATCAGATGTAGACATCCTTGTTTAATTTATCCGCGTTTAGTTGGTGTTGTGGTCTAGCTACCGCATAACTTTATCCAGAGCAGACACTTATCACGGTTGAGATGTGGCTTGGGAAAGGGTAAAAAAATACACACCGTCTCCCAGCCTCTCAGGAACCTAGTGTCACCTAGAGTTGCATGTACCCCATGCACACCGTTTGACCATTTTAAACTTAAAATAACAAGAAAAAACGAATGAAAACTGACTAACTCCAATGCATTTCAATGGAAGTGGAAGCAGAGAATGTCCGAGTGTATTGGGTTAGCTGCGCACTGTGATTGGCTCATTGCGTTTGAGGGCGTGGCTTAGCGATAGGTCAATTGGGGATTTGGCTTCAGGCACTAACAGAGCCCAAAATAGTAAACAAAAATACAATTACTTCCAATTACTAATCAAATTATTACTTACCAAACTCCCTAATCCAAACCAGGCAATAAAGATCAGACAAAAAGTGGCATCGGTCTTCCTACCTCCCAAATTACTATACACAGGTGAATACAGGTATAAGAGCAAACAAATCAGTGGAGGGGTAATCTGGAATCTAGGTCATTAAACAGGCGGTATTCAATATCACAGGCATGGCAGTTCTCAAGAAACCACATATTTCTCAAACTCAAATAATATAATAATACAGGATATAGTTTATTGTAACTGTTTGCATTTTCTTGTTGTTGAAATATCATGATCAAATCTCATTATACAAAAGATGAAGTACTATGCACAGGATATTTTAAACAGTATTTGACTTCAACTACACAGCAAAGACTATTCTCCACTTCTCAAATACAAAAATAATGTGAGACTTTATGGACACTTGGGGCTTTCACACAGGAGGAACCTTTTCATAGTTCAAAGAACTACTGGGAGAAGTTCCCAGTTTTTGGCACGATTATGTATTTCTGCTCAGCTGGCGACACTGGACATCAACCACATGGCAAACCCTAATAACTAATTAGATCATAAACTAAAGAACAGGGAGAATGCGAGCACTGTGTGCTCATTCTCTGGCGTTCTCAGCGCCATCAAAATAAAGGTCCCCCACACCTTTAAAATAAGTTAACAACAACAAGTGACGCAGTGCGGCTTACATCACTTCAGAGTGCCTACTGGGGGTGTGACCAGTTCCAAGAGGGACCATTAGTTCTCGGGGAACCACCCTGGTGGTTAGTTCCTATAACTATCTGGTGCAAAAGCCCCTATAGTGTTTCTTGAGAAAATTAAAATGCTGTACTTCTTAAACATTAGTCTTTTATCTGTTCCTTACTGTACGTACACAAGCCGCCGACTTGGGCTTCCAAAGTTATCAGAAGTCATCACTAGAGAATAACTAATGCTCAAGCAGTGCAAGCGGAAAAAAAAAAAGCCTAATAAAGCAGATTGTGCCAGATATCGTACAGAACGTACACACACACACACACACACACACACACGAGTCAGCATATGATTATATGATAATCATCATATAAGAAAGGCACTTTGCTGACAGACGTTTCAGAGACACAAAGAGAACGGTGTTCTAAGTTTCTAACAGCACTTTGCATTTTCTGTTCTAAAACCGGTCTCCCGCAACAAAACTTAAAGGAAGTAAATGTCTCAAAATCATTTTGCTTTTAGATAAGTTAACATCTTGGATCACGCGATGTCCAGCTGCGCTTACCTGCAGTCGTGATGCCGTGATGGACAGCTATCTTTCCTCATTCGACTGTTTGGATTTCATGTGATTTCTCATTGTGGTGATGATATTATAACTCAGATTAATTAATTAATTTGATCAAAAGTAATTCCATTTAGTTAGATCATTAAGTAATTCCAAACTTCGCAAAGCAGACGACAACATTATGTGATCAAATACCGACAACTTGTTAACACACTCGACAGCGCCACCCAGTGCATTTAATTATAACTGCGAGTTAGTGCTTATGCTACGTTCACACCGGACGCGAATAGGGCGTCAGGCGCGAATGATTTCAATGTTAAGTCAATGCAAAGACGCTTTACGCGCGTGGAAAAATTCCTGCGTCGCGAATGAGGCGTGGAGCGCGGCGCGGAAGACGCGAATACGTCTCATTCGCGCGTCAAGTTGGCGCGAATGGCGCAAATTGAGCGTTGTGCATTCACGCGTTTGACGCGAATTCGCGTCTGCCGCCCGAGTTGAAAAATCTAAACTTTGGCGTGAATTCGCGCCGCGTTAACCACGTAATCCGCGTGTCTGGATGCTTCAATAAATTATTTTGTATATGACTAAATGCATGGTGGGATTATGCACAACAAAGCAAATGTTTTATCACTTAAAACATTATTTCTATATACGAGACATGTTCATTTTGTATTGAATGTTATTCATTCCATATCTAGAAATAGTTATGTTGTAAAGACAATCAACATATGTGCATAAATTCGTGTCTGGACGTGAGAGAAAAAAAAAAATCACAGGACAGGTTAATAACTTTTGAAGGCTGGCTCTATTTATCATCAAAACAAAAATAAATGACAGCTAGATTAGATGGATGAGGGCGAGGGTGATCCTCGCTCAGATGCGGGACAACAGGTCATCAAACTGGGCGCGTGACAGGCGGAAGTACCGCTGACAGCGGCCGTCATCCAGCGCAGCTCCTGGAGCGAGCAAATGGTGAAACTCGCCAAACGGTTCGGCTCCGAAGGGTCCGGTGGACACAAATATACGGCGACGATGATCCCCACGCCGCTGTTCTGCTCTCCAGAGTAAATACAGAGCGGTAACTCTCTTGATGAATGCTCGGTCGACATAAAAACAATGGCCGCCAACGGATTTTGATTCTGACGCGCGTCACGCGCGTAAATTTCGCTTACGCGTGGCAGTTTCGCTCTTGACACGCGAATTAACACTAGTGGTCAAGCGTCAAACTAGACGCGTCAGGCGCGAATTTGACGCGCGATTCGCGTCCGGTGTGAACGTAGCATTAGGCTTTATCAAGGAGTCACTGCATTTACGGCCAGCAAAGCAAGTAGTAAAGTAAAGTAGTAAACTAGTAAACTTTACTAGTAAAGTAGTAAAATTCGAGTAGTATTTTATTTTTCGAATAATAATTACAGATCGAGTGCACACCCCTAATTTATAGCATTTATTTTTTGGAATTTGATCATTTTCCATGGCACATCTGACAACCTGTCGCGGCACAGTGGTTGGGAAGCCCTCAATTAGGCTAGACAACTCCGGCAATGAGGCCGTAGAGTAGATAATCGGGTAAAACTCTTCCCACATGAAGAGCACTGGTATGGCTTCTCTCCAGTATGAACTCTCTCATGAGCTTTCAAGGAATCCGACCGAGTGAAACTCTTTCCACAGTGTGAACACTTGTACGGTTTCTCTCCAGTATGAACTCTCTGATGTGATTTTAAGTTGCTTGATATAATGAAGGTCTTCCCACAGTCAAAGCACTCATAAGGTCTCACACCAGTATGAATACTCTCATGTTCTTTTAAATTTTGCAGTCGTATAAAACTCTTTCCACAAAAAGAACACACGTGAGGCTTTACACCAGCATGAGTTTTAAGGTGTGTATTTAAGCTTGATGCCAAAACAAATGTTTTCTCACACTGATCACAGCTGAATGATCTCACTCCAGAGTGAAAGAGCATGTGATCTTTGAGAACGCTTTTGTAACCAAAACTTTTTCCACACAGAGAGCATGTATAAGGCTTCTCTCCAGTGTGAGACCTCATGTGCACATTAAGGTGTCCTTTCTGAATGAAACTCTTTCCACATTCAGAGCAGTTAAACAGATTTTCTCCAGTGTGAATTCTCATGTGCACATTTACGTCCTCTTTGCGACTGAAACTCTTTCCACACTCAGAACAGGTGAATGGTTTTTCTCCAGTGTGAATTTTCATGTGATCATTTAGGTGTCCTTTATGTCCGAAACTCTTTCCACACTGAGAGCATGTGAACGGTTTTTCTCCTGTGTGAGATTTCATGTGTCGGTTAAGGGCTGATTTATCTATAAAACTCTTTCCACACTCAAAACAGAAGAACGGTTTTTCTCCAGTGTGAATTCTCATGTGTATCTTAAGGTGTGATTTAAATAAGGTACTCTTTCCACACGCAGAACAGGTGAAAGATCCTTTGTCTCCAGATCTTCCAGCTTGTTTTTGTGTGAAATTCTCTTCAGTCTTTGAAACGACTCTGTGTCCATCTTCATTTGTGAAATTATGCTGTTTGCCTTCATTCACTTCCGTCGGGTCTAAAAATCAACAAATTAAATTGCCCAATTTCAATTTAAGTAAGGTAAATAAGAAACAAAGAAATAAAGTTCATTCTTCTAATTCACAAATATAGTTTACTACTGAGTCAACTAGTATCTAGTTTTAGATGTACTTTTATATCTTCATGAGAACCAGAAATAGAAGATAATTTTTTTTGAGAATTTAGTTTGCCATTACATTGTTCAGAACCAATGGAGATTTTTGTGTGTGTGATAAAATCAATTTCAAAATCAATTTCAATGTTTCAGGCTATTTTAAACCAAAATTTATATAAAGATTATTCTCGACTATGGTATGAGAGATAAAACAGAATTATTTGATATAATATTTCACTTTATGCAATATGCAAGTAAAATTGCCATGAGTAGTCCCATTCTATACAATGTAATTAGAATTTTAATGTTCTTGTGGCAACATGTAATGAAAAAAAAGTGTAATAATGCGAGAAATAACTTTGTAACATTTTCATTTGAATACCTCATATTTCATAAGAATACTGATAATTTATTTCCTTTTTGACTTGTAATTTTTTTTTTGGAGGGGGGGGGGGTAAACTGCGATTTGCAATTTAAAATGGGATTTCTAGAAAAAAAATGGTAACACTTTACAGTAAGGGCACATGAATTATCATGAATTCATGTATAAATTCATGCATGAATTATGCATTAATATCTCATGAATCATCAGAAACCAACACGAATTCAACATTTTTCATTCTTGACTTCATGGATGAACAACACTTCAATTAAAACATTTACTAATATGAGTACATCATCATGAATTACGATTTATGACGCATGATCATGATGTTTTCTTTGTTCAAAGTTATGCCACCTTTAATAGCACACTGTTCATCAGTGTTTCAAAGGACCTTGTCACCACTTTAGTTGAGGGACCACACACATGATGAAGTCATTGATAGATGATGCTTAGTTAATGATGACTACTGTATTGAACAGACCCCAAAATAGACCAATCACAGCTCATACAGTAGCACATACATTATGTTGACATTCAAATACAGTATGTAGGCCTAACACTAGAAGTCCTATTTTAAGTGTATGGTCTAAACCGCACGGCGCAAGTGTACTTATGCTGCATTCACATGCTATGGAAAGTAGGATATTTTCCACTTGTGAATTGCTTTTTACCAGTGTGTTGCGTTCAAGTGCTTTTGTTGTCGTAATGTGGTAAAAAGATGGAGATCCAGACCTGTTATTTAGCTAAAACTATTTACGATCGCTTAAGTATTCTGCAACAGCAAGAAAATGATTTATCAAAACTCAAAAGGTAAATAATATGCTATATATTTTCTAGATCAAGAATAATACATATTTTTACCATTCACGACTCTTGTGTTGCTCTCTGCCATTTTTAAAAGTTCAAAGGTTATCTCATCTCGGCAACTCGCCCATCAAAATATTCTACGAGTTGCCCAGTAGAAAATACCACACGAGGGGGTGTTCATATGCATTTTCCACGTTGGCTTTTGGTATATACCATGATTACCATAGCACATGAACGCAGCATTACAGTGTGTCTGAATCCACTTTTGCTAGTTTAATGACAGGAGAAATGGTTGGCGTGTCCATTGCATGGTCTAAAAGGGTTGTCCCCATTCCGTTAATGAGTAATGGGTGTGTTTGGGGCAAAATGTGCAATAAAACCAGCCAGAGTCTCATCTCCCATTCCCTTTAAAAGCCAGTTGCGGTTGTGCCATGGCGGATTCGCTATTTACATGGTGGAATTTACAAGTGGGAAAACGTACTCGGTTACTAATGTAACCTCGGTTCTCTCTAAAAGAGGGAACGAGTACTACGTAAATCTTATGCTAGGGGAAAATCTCTTTTCAGTGAGATATTGAAGTCAAAAAATTACCCTAAATTTTTATTTAATGTAAAACGCGTTGCGGCAGCATGCAGACATAGGCAGGACGACTTAGCGTACCTATTGGCTGTCCTGCGGCAACTTTAGCAGCCTATTGAGAGAGGCCCTTTGGGGACTAAACGGGGGTGGCCTAGCCCTATAAATATAGCTTGATGGGCTGATATCACTGGTTTTTCCATCTCTGAAGCGAACCAGAGCATGAAGCAAGCACAGCAAGATATGCAGTACTCGTTCCCTCTTCTAGAGAGAACCGAGGTTACGTCAGAAACCGAGTACATTCTCTTATGACAGTTTCTCTCGTACTGCCTAGGGGAACACCATGCAAAATGCTGTGCGTGCAGGGATTCAGCCTCTGCAGATCCAACAACAGCATCTGATTGGCAACAATAGCAAATGACTGGCTACTAATGTTATACTCAAACAGCGTTGGCATTAGTTTACGTTCTTGATCAAATCGAAAATAACGTCATAAAGCATATATACATGAAAAATACGTTTAAAACATTAGTACTTAAACAAAATTCAGGTCCATAATGTTTGTACACGTTTGTCGTAGACACAAAATAGCATAACTAGTAGCCTAGTGGCTATAAAACTAGCGCTGGCATTTGAAAAAAAAAATAAAACACAAGGCTTCGTCTGGAATTATACATGCAAATAAATTTAAAATGATTAAGTATTCTTAGCCTACTTACAGGTTGTGGCTCAACAACTGCTGCCTCTTGTTTTAAATTTGGATCTGCTTCATGTTTTATGGCGCTTTTCCACTGCATAGTACGGTACGGTTCGGCTCTGTACGCTTCGACTCGGCGCGGAACAGTTCGGATCGCTTTTCGTTTCCACCGCAGTAGTACCCCTTCAAAGTGTGTGGGACTGATCGTTATTTGCGCGCGTCTCTACTGCCATGACATCATCTTAAAAGCGCCACATTTTCAAACCCACAACACAGGAACAATGGAGACTATCGAGGGGATGGTGTTCCTGATTCTCGGTATGTGGTTTTTAACTGCTAGACGGAAAAATGTGTTTAAAATGAGGCTGATGGCAGCAAAACAAAAATACTGTGTCGCAAATCCAATGACGCTAGTAGTGACGCTGGTAGTGACGATTCTGTCTGACCAATCAGTGATCTGCAGTGTTTCACGTCACATTTTAGTACCGGTACGGTACGCTTGGAACCTCAACAGACCAGGTACCATTTAAAGCGACCTGAAGCGAACCGTACTGTACCGTACCATGCAGTGGAAAAGCACCACAAGTGAGACGTACCGAACCGAACCGTACCGTACTATGCAGTGGAAAAGCACCACAAGTGAGACGTACCGAACCGAACCGTACCGTACTATGCAGTGGAAAAGCGCCTATAGTAACAGTTTCTTGTTGAATCCGGCATTGAATTCGTGGAGATTCTGGAAGCTGTCTCTCGTAAAATGCGCAGCACAGAGAGCTAAATTACGATCGTCATTTTCAGGAACATAATCAAACATAAATTGTATCCATTGTTGACGAAGTACAGCGTCCGTGGGAAGCTCGAACACAGAAGACCAGACAGCTGGGTGAACACAACACACGACGAGCTGCAGAAATATGCACATGCCCTTTTTTGCATTTTCCGGAGGGAGCGTTGATGTAAATGTATCGGTTAGTGACGTCTAAAAGCCAGCTGTAGTCCCAATCGAGTCGTTTTTGTAGGCAATATTCTTTCTGATTTTAAAAAGACGATATCTCTGCTTACACTGAACTTTCAGGACTGCAACTTTGCAGATACTGTTCATGCACCAACAGCAACATTACATTAGACACTATTTAAAATGAAAAAAGTGAAATCGCAATCAACCCCCTCTTTAAATACATTAATTTATCCTATTAATCCTGATTCCTACCGTTAAAGCTATCTTTTCTTTTTTTTATCAACATTAATGACAGACATATATTGCTGCTGTCACTTTAAGAGCTAGTGCACAGATCCATACTGTAACATACATAACACATAGTGTAACATACACGCATAACCAACTCTTCAAGACTGGAATTTTGGAATTTCTGTTTTGCTTTTTCAAATGCATGTTATACGCCACTCAAACTCGCTCTTTTGGAGATGGAGCAGAGAAATTTGCAAAAATATATTGTCCTCTACAGAGGAAAAAGTCTATGCCTGGGTCTCAAGAGGATGTCAGTTTTCATCTTATGTTCCTCATCAGTCATTAAAGAGAATGAAGGAAAACACAAACCTATTTGTTCTTCTGTATCTTCATCTTTTATTCTGCAGGGTTCTTCCTTAATCTCCATCTTTACAATAGTATGTCCGTAGTTTCTCCTGGAGTAATTCCTCCTGCTTGCTGCTTCTTCTCCTGTGGGAAGATGGGAATAATCCCCAGCATTTAAACTCTCGTTTTTTTAGAAACAATTCCACTCTGGCTGATGTTTATGTTGCCCTTCTATCCGGTATAATTTAAATACATTAAATGTATTTTAAACCAGGTTTAAAATGTTTGTTTTTACCAGGTTTAATTTGTTAATTAGGCTACATAAAATAAAAACACACCTCACAATTTTCACAAATTGCACAATGAAAAACAGTCAGCAACGAGTTTGTTTCATGAGAGTAATGAACATCAGTCGGTTCATTTCGATTAATTTCTGAGTGATTCACTAAATGAGCTGACTCGATTAGTCGTTTGTATTTAGATTTCTCCTAATAAATGATAAAATGAATATACTCACAGTCTGAAAAACGGCAGATTTAGAGCTGAATCAAAGGCTGTGTTCCACTTCTCATGTTTATGTTCCCTTCCCTCGCTCACTTCTCTTCTTCTCCTAGACTCGGATGTGTGTCATTGCTTCGGTTGCTCGAGCGCCTCTACTGGCGGATAACAGGCAATGCGTCGCGTTATACAGTGGAAGTTGCCCATTCAAAGAGATGCCAGGACATTCTAGAGATCTTTAAATGTTAGCAGGAAACAATATTATTTAAACTCCGGAATGAAATCCTATCTTTATAGATCTTAGATCTTTAAAAATCGGTAGATCCGATAGATCTTTATCTGTGTGATGTGATTTCTAACGTGCACATTAATGTTTACGTTATGAAAGACTTTACCCATTTTTTTCTTTTCATTAATTCTTTTCAGTCTGTGAAATTACATCTTCATTTGTGATATTATGAGGTTTATAAAACGGATGCTGTTTATCTTCATTCATTTCCAGTGGGTCTCAAAACATTAAATACCCATAATTTAATTAAAGAAAATCAATTTAAAAACAAAAGAGCTGACTGTTGGCCTACTGCAGAACAGTTATTTCTTTATGGTATTTTGATCTTTATCTTCTCAAACGTGGTGCTATTATCAGAAATGAGATCTATATTCCAGCACTGTTAAACTATCAATCCGTCAATTCAGTTCATAGAGAAGCTGATTCTTTCTTTATTGATGAGGGTTTATTGCTGTAATCAGACATCGATTAAATGTGTGAATGTGTGCAAATTACAAAGTCAGCAAGTTTGCAAATCAGATATATGAAGGTTTAACTAAAACTAAACATGTAGCTAAAATTATAGTATGCATTCATACAGATCTATCAAAAAGTTCACGTGTTGACAAAAAAATGGCACTGTAAAGTCCAAAACTATTGTTATAATAACCAATATAAAAACATATTCAAGTTATTCTGAGAATCTACACTAGGACTTTTCTGTAATTTCTACAGTTATTTTCTTTAAATCACCCAGTATTATACTATTTCCCTTTACAGTAAATATCTGTGATTCCCATTGCATCATTGGCATTTTCTGTGACGTTTTGTTCAGTCAAAAGACTGCATCTGTTACTGCATGAGAGGATAATATATGAGCTGTAGGTTTCTCGCCGTCACAACCGACATAAATGAAATACTCAAAGTCAGATACGCAAATGATTCAATGCCACACAGGGGCATGATGTGATTTACTTGATTTATTAATAGTTATGTAAACATGTATAATTACCTAATTTAAATCTACTTGAATCTGTGTATCATTGTTGTTCGAATACCTAAATTCATCAAGTTACTTTAATCAATCACAATTCAACCGACAGTTAGCAATGACATCTCCATTTTTACTGCAAAGGTGGAACAGAAGCTGCATCTGACATGGCATTTAAGTTTATTTAAGAATCAAAAATACAAAAGTGTGCCCAGTTTGGGCATTTGGGATAAATCTCTTAAGGTAAATATCCTATAAACATGAAGTCATTATAGAAGTGCTCTTGAAATTGTAAATCGCAGTGATGAATCAAAATGCTTCTGATTGGACATCGCATTTCTAAACTCAACAGCAACGTGTGATTGGTTATAATGCAAACACAGGAAACTACGAGTTAAAGAAAATGACAATAAATATGATGTAAAACAAACAAATCGAATGTAAATGTAATGCCGAAATCTTCATATTATGGGTAGAAAATGTACTTTCAACCCCATTTAACATGGAAGAGGCAATCCCCAAGAAGAGGAGGGAATACCATCGTTTTTCATCAAAGAAACGAATAGTAATTGGGAAGACTTTTGAATGGTGGAGAGAACTCAAAGAATTAAATCAGACGCCGAGGTTGCACTGTTTCTTCTGGACAGAGGAGTAGCTTCTAGTGCTGACTTTTTAGTATATGAACTATGTGTGAAAATAATTCTTTAAAAAATATGAGTGAAGCTCGACTAAACTTGGATAGCTCTAGCGAATATCAGATTGTAGGGATTTAGTGTGAGAGGTTTTCACTATGTACAAAAGGGGAGGGAGGGGCGAGCTAACTTGGTTTGTTTGGGATCTCCCTTCAAACACAAACAAAAGTGACGATACCCACAATCACTGATACAACCTTAAGTGCTTCATTGCCATGATATTAGCAAAAAAAAAAGACAATACTTTGTTAGATTTTAGACACAATGTTAACTAATTTCTTGTTGAACTGTTGTATAAAATGATTACCACACATTGCACTCGTGTTATTCGGGACGAAACAGCACACGTGTGATGGTCGCGTGTGGCGTCACCGTCGGCCGGAGTGCCTGCAGTGGCATTATTCACAGTGGCAAAAAGACTGAACGGCTGTATTTGTTTTCAGCGTGAATGCTACGAAACACAAACCCAACATATAAAGTGGGAAAGAGCTTTGCGATTGGCTGTACAAGTAGATTTGACAAAAAAAAACAATAAAAAAAAAAATCGGAGGTATATTTTTACAGACTGCTATAGAAAGAGGAGCAAACAACTGGACTCCAGTCAGTGAAAGGTGGATTTGCAGTTATCATTTTGTGTCAAAATGCTGAATTTAGGTGTAAAACCATACCCATATATTTTGTATTGTTATATCTATTAACAACTCATCAATTAAATGTTTATCATTGCATATTGTCCCCCCCAAAAAAAACAACTATAAAGTTTTAGGGCCGGATGATATGATGATATATATAGGCTATATATAGGCTATATATAACACTGATATAAGTGATCATCCGGATTTAGAACTACCTATATTGTATTTATATAAAACGTTCACAGGCAAATTTGCTTTATATTTAGGTCTACCGTATATTGCTTTTATTTCCCCGGTGTCGAAATCAGGCAAACATAAATGTCAGGTAACACGATTTCTGGCTGCATGTCAATATCCATGGATCACTGGATCTTTAGTAAGTTGCAAGGAACATTATATTGAGTCCAGCATTTAGTTTAAATTGATAAAATTGTTCGTTTTAGTCGCATTTTCACAGTTTCCCCTATTAAATCCAGTCATTCAGTCAGGCTGAGGGGGGTTGTTGCGGTGGGAAAGTGACGTCAATGCATTCCCTCTATTGTTGAAACTTTTTTCACCACTTTCCATGAAAACATTTCTCTCATGCCACTCAAAAAGTACACATTTTTTCCCTTTAGTCTTGTGAACAATTTTACATTCAATGTACATTCGGGCAACACTTCTTATGTTTCTGTAGACTAGATGATTGGGTGTAACTCTTCCCACATGAAGAGCACTGGAACGGTTTCTCTCCAGTGTGAACTCTCTGATGTCTTTTTAAGTCACTGGATGAAGTGAAGGTCTTGCAACAGTGAGAGCACACATGAGGTCTCACACCAGTATGAATACTCTCATGCTCTTTTAAAGACTTAAGTTGTGAAAAACTCTTTCCACACAAAGAACAGACGTGTGGCTTCACATCTGCATGAATTGTAAGGTGTTGTCGTAAGTTTGATTCCACAACAAATGTTTTCTCACACTGATCACAGCTGAATGATCTCACCCCAGAGTGACGGCGCAGATGATCTCTGAGATTTCTCTTCTGACTGAAACTCTTTCCACATAGAGTGCATGTGAACGGTTTTTCTCCAGTGTGAATCCTCGTGTGCATGTTTAGGTCTCCTTTCTCAACAAAACTTTTTCCACACTGAGTGCATGCATAAGGCTTTTCTCCAGTGTGAATCCTCATGTGTGTGTTAAGCTCTGATTTATATCTGCAACTCTTTCCACACACAGAGCAGATGAAAGATTCTTTGACTCCAGTTTTTCGAGCACGTTTTTGTGTAAAATTCTTTGTGTTCCCATCTTCATTTGTGAAACAATGTGGTTTTTGCTGGTTGTCTTCATTCACTTCCACTGGGTCTAAAATCGACATATTAAATTCCCATAATTCAATAAAAGGAAGACAAATGAGAAACAAAAATAAATATGGTTCTGTCTAAAAAAAAAATAAATAAAAACAATTGATTATTGAACCCTTTTCATGATATTATATTCCAACCATATATTTATATTTTGTATAATATTTTCAGATCTTATTGATCAGTTAATTGGCTTTATGCCCAGCTGCACTACTTCCTGAACTTCAGCCAGCTCCTTGTTTCCTGTCTGCCATTATTGGCCAAATTGATTAATTCAGGTGCGCCTGATTATTGTTGCCATGACTACTGAGGTCAAGCACACCTGAATTAATCAATTTGACCAATAATGGCAGACAGGAAACAAGGAGCTGGCTGAAGTTCAGGAAGTAGTGCAGCTGGGCATAAAGCCCATTGCACATGCACAGTGGAAAAATCCTTTAGACACAAACCCCAAGTTTTTACAGACAAGTTTTAAGATAGTCTCAGACTAAAATGCATGTGTGAGCCATTTTAACTGAAAGCAACTTGCTCTGACAGATTACAATATGTCACTACAATTGTTTTGTCTCAAGAACCAAACAGCAATGTTTTTAAAGGCACTTTTATAAAAGCTACTTGAATGTCTTAATTGAACTAAGGCCTAATCTTGGCTTAATCTAAGCCTTGTCTGTGAAACCAGGCCTAATAGAGATGCGCGGTTGGCGGTTACAGCCGAGGACTGCGCGGATAAACCGCGGATCGGGCAGATGACGTGACTAGAAAAAAAATACTTAAAAATACTAAAAAAAAATCAATTGGGGCAGGTGGTTGAACCAAATTATGTGCCAAAATGCGATTTCTATTAGGCTACAATATCACATAAGGTAAGTGTGAAGAGGTTCGGTGTGTGTGGAAGGAAGAAGACAGTCGGCGTGACTGGGACTTGTGTTTATTCAGAAAAACAAAAAGAAACGAGGCGCACAGTAGCGCTTTCGCCACCATAAACAAAACACGCGATCCAACACTCTTGCTTCTCAGTCTCGGTTGCAGTAGCCACGTGCGAAGTCCCAGTCCAACTCTCTCTCTCTCTCGCTCTCTCATTCTCTCCATGCCAATTACTGCAATCAGACACAGGTGTTCATCATCTGCACTTGACCTACTCATTCACTGCGCGGCTCCGTCCTTTCTCTCCAGCGAAAGACTTCGCAAAACTACGCCCCCCTCGCCACAGTCAGGTTTGCCGAAGTGCGTTTAATTTATTTATTTTTGTCCCTGCGTGCCGATCGGAGACGGAGTTCACTGCTGATATTCTGAGAGCTTTCTAGTCTCACGGCTGTCATCAACAGTGCCTTGTATCGCCCAATCAGCGGATGGCGGGCGGGTGCGGTTTTTAAAACTGGTCAAAAACGTTGGTGCGGATGGATGGCGGACGGATTATGAGTTTTGTGATGCGGTTGCGGATGAAATAATAGCATGTCCGCGCATCTCTAAGGTCTAACACTTCACTGGTGGAAGAAAAGTCACAAGACCATTAAAGAGAGCTTTTTACCGACTCTGAAAAACACCAGTAGAAAGATACTCAGGGCAATACACAGCCGTGTCTGTAATGTAAGAGACCAAATAGAGCACTATAGGGAGACTTTCTAATGCCAACTACATTATGAACCCTCAGATCTGTTTAAGTACATGCAAGTGCCTTGGTGGAAGAGTGAAGTAACATCTCACAGCAAGAACTGGCAAATCTCTCTCAGTCCATCAAGACGAGATGCACTTTAGCATTTAAACTGCTGGAAACACCATATAATGACTGCAACTTTTAACATTGAGCCCCACTCGGTTCAGGGACTCATAATTCCATTTCTGCTCATTAAATGTTTATGAAATTTGTTCCTTTTATGTCTCAGTTGTTAAATCTTTGCATGTTAATAAAAATATTTTCACATAATCAGAAATTTGCTTTAAAAAAGTATTTGAAAGTATTAGATGTATTGTTCTAGCTATACCAACCTGTTTGTTCATCTGTATCTTCATCTTTTATTCTGCAGGGTTCTTCCTCAAACTCCATCTTTACAATAGTATGTCCGTAGTTTCTCCTGGAATAATTCCTCCTGCTTGCTTCTCCTGTGGGAAGATGAGAATATATTATTATTATTAGATGAAATGTAGACCTAAATCATTGAATACTGAATAATAACCCCATTAATTATGATAATTATTAAAAAACAAAACAAAAACAATAACACTAGTAATAACAAAACGCCACTTGGCACCTACTGCATCAATTCTGGGTGGCTCGTCTTACCCCAAGGCTCTGTTTTTATCTTTTTACCTCAAAATAACACAGTGCAGAAAATTATTTCTCACACTCATCACAGCTGAAAGTCTTCACTCCAGAGTAAGAAGACAGAAGCTCTTTGGGAAAGCTTTCTGACTGAAAATTTTTAAACAATGAGTGCATGTATAAGGCCTTTCTCCAGTGTGAATTCTCATGTGTCTCTTAAGGTTTGATTTGTGTCCGCAACTCTTTCCACACTCACAGCATGTGATAATCGCTTTTAACTCAGCCATGTAATGTTAATATACTGCTACTGGGTTTCTGGCACGATTTGATGAAAGCGTCAAACGCTTCAGAAAGCCGCGGATTCCCATCACCAAGAATACTAATCTGATATTGATTGTAAGGGTTTTTGTGGTTTGACAGAGGAGACGCTTTTTGTCATTTTAGCAACAAGGGGAAACATCGAGTCCTGTTTACATTAGACCTAAGACTAAGCATTAAAAACTCTGTTTACCAGGTTTCATTGATCATTACATAAAGGAAAACAACTCACAATCTTAACAAATTACACTGTGAAAACCCAATCAGTAACGAGTTTACATTCATGAGTGACTCGTTTAGTCGTTTGGATTTAGATTTCTCCTAATAAATTAAAAAATGAATGTACTCACAGTCTGAAAACAGCAGATTTAGAGCAGAATGAACGGCTGTGCTCCACTTCTCATGTTTATGTTCCCTTCCCTGTTCCCTCGCTCACTTCTCTTCTTCTCCTAAACTCGGATCATTGCTTCGGTTGATCGAGCGCCTCTACTGGCGGAACACTGGCATGAAATAGAAGCTGCTTGTCTTCATTCACTTCCATTAGGTCTCAAATCATGAAATTCCCATAGTCCAATTAAAACAAAAGAGCCAACTGTAAGTCAACTGTACAGTACTGTTATTTCTTTGTGGTATTTTAATCTTTTATCTTATTTGTTATTATCAGAAATAAGCTCTACATTTCCAGCACTGTAAGACAATAAATACTTCAATTCAGTTCATAGAGAAGCTGAAAGAATATTGATGAGGGTTTATTGCTATAATCAGACATTGATTGAATGTGGAACTTAGAGACAAAAGAGCAGTTTGCAATTCAGAGTTATAAATAAGCTGCATTCAGCTAATAATGGCATGATGTTGCATTTAAATTATAAGGATT